ATCTTCAACTATATTTATTATATACAGAATTTATACAAAACTTATCTTCAACTATATTTATTATATACAGAATTTATTTATTATATACGGAATTTATACAAGACTTATCTTTAATTATATTTATTATATATAAAAATAAATACAATATATACTGTTTAAATCATCAATAAAAAGTTTCTGTATAAATATTCTGTATTATATGATACAAAATTCGCAGTTAATTCTGTATAATTCTATACAGAATTTTATACTAAAAAATTTAAGTATTAATTCAAGATAATTTTAGTATATTTTTTTCATAGAGTTAGATCATAATTTAGATTTTGTTTTCCTTTTTTCTTTTATTTGTATTATTCTGTAATTATGCAGATGCATTAGGATCTAATTATAAAAGGGTCTGAGTACATATGGGTGAAAATAGTGATAAGAATTTCTAATTATTAATTGTTAATAAGAAATTGTTAAATTAATAAATCTTTTTGAGTAATTAATAATTGAATTACCAAAATGCATAGAATATATCAATAGAATAATCTAATTAGTGATTATGCAAATTAATAATCACACTCATGAACAATTGTTTAATAGTTTTTATCAGAAAGGTCCCTAAAGTGTGAATCGATAGTGCAATTGCAGCATATTAATAACCAATTGATAACAAGCTGTAACTAAACTTGTCATTGATTAGCTATTTATATTCTGTGGCTATACTACACTCAGGTGTATTTATAAAAATATTTTTAATAGTATAATGATAAATCATAAACTACTTTATTTATCCAACAAAATGTATTTGCAAAATACAAATATTGTATATATATTTGTAATAAAAAATAAATGCTAGTATTTGAATTAGGATATTAAAGTTAGTTATTGCTATTCTCAAAGGCTTTACCAAATGACTTGATTGACTAAAATTGATTATATTTATTATTTAAATTTTTTGTAGTTGTATCAATTAAATTTGTTGTTTGCACAATAAATTTCAGCAACTTGATTGCTAGTTTCTATTTATTTTGATGTTAAGTGAATTATAATTAGAATAGCAATGCATATTCTATTTATTAAAGTGCTCTTAATTATGTTGTAACAAAAAAAAATAGAATAACTGTTTGAGATTCTAAATATCAATTTTATGAACCATTATATGTTGAATTAACTGAGGATCAAAAAATTCTAAAAGTGAAATAACTAGTATTATTTTAATTATTTGGGTCTAAATTTTCTATATCATTAATTATTTGTGTAGAATCTGTTTGAAGTTGCCTAGTATTTTCTCTACATCATTACTATCATGACTATCATCTAATTCAGCATTATTATTTATTATATTAATATTAGTTTATATCTCATTTTTATTCAATTTACCTTTTAAAAACCATGCAATTTTTTCTATTTTAGTAGTTCTAGAAACAAATAATCAATTGTGTCTCCCTGTGTAAATATTTCTTATAAGAAACCATACTCTTTCAGATGTTGCTAAATTTGGAGGTATAGAAAAAATTCTGCAAGCAAATTCTGCTAAATTTGGTGTATATATTAATACAGTTTGCCAATATCTTAGTGGTAACTTAATAATGCTAAAATTATTATGTGATAAATCTTTTTTAAAAATGCCTTCATAGTTTTGATACTTTAACCATTCATCTATAAATATATTATTATCTTTTTCAGGATATAATAAACAAAACATGCTATAAGCATCTTCTTGTAATTGTAAAACTTTTTCTTTTTTTATTCCTTTTTTATGATAGTAAGGATGCAGAAACCACGTGATCAAAAAATTAGATTATAAATTTTTGTCTACCTATTGTCAATCTTATTTATCATTAAAGTTTTAAAATCTAAAAAAATATTGTCTATAGATAAATCATCAATAATCTTTCTAAACCACATTCAGATTATTGAAATATGTCTAAGTATTGCATTATCAGATTCTAAAATTTTTATAATATAGCATATGGTTTCAATTTATGAAAAAATTAATCAAGCTTTATCCAAAATTTGAATTATCAATTATATTATAGCAGTTTGCAAAAATATGTAATACCTGCAGATTATATTAATTATATAAAATTATAGTAAATTAACAGATTTTAGCAGATTTTTTGATTCTTCAAAAATTTCAAAGATTTCAAATAAATATAATGTTACTGATTAAAAAATATGATCAATAGACAATTTAAAATCACTAAAATTTTTCAATATCATCATCACGAAAATCACAGTATTACACCTGCAAACTGCCATAATTATTTTATGACTAATGTTTCTTCTTGTAATTAAAAGATTTAAATTTGTTATAGCAATAATTTATATACTATTCTGAGTTAATACAAGAGTTTTGCAGCTTTTGAAAAGGTAACCCATCTAATTATACAAGGATATTGAGGTGTTAAATTTGCATTCTTTTCTAATTCTTTTAGTTTAACTAATATATAATTCAAATTACAAAAATAATTAATAATTAAAAGCATTTCAGTAATTACAGGCTTAAATTGTTTAGATTTAATAATTTTTTTAACTAATAAATTTGTCTGATATGCCATACAAGGTATTGTTGTAACTTTCTGTTGTAATTCAAAGTCTTTATCACTTATCTTCCAAGCTTTTGCCATATTAGAACCACTATCTGGCACAAATCTGATCTATTTGTTACCTAATGATTTTTTAACCTCTTTGTATGCATTAAATATTGCAATACCTGTATGATACTGGTTTGAAAAATCTGAAATTTTCCAAATTTGACTTTGATATTTCTCATTTGTAATAATAAAGTTTACTAAGCTATGTTTAGAAACATTTGTCCAACCATCTTCAGACAGAGTTAAAAATTTTGAATCGTCAATAAAATTTTGAATGTTAGCTTCTACTTCCTCATTTATTTCATCTAAAATATCTGTACTAATTCATTTTCTTGAAGGCAATATGTATATAGATCATAGCATTTTAAATAATTTCCAAACTTCTTCATTTTCTACAAATGCAAATGGAACATTTGCTGAAATAAGAACCTGTAATAATTGATGATGAATTAATCGATTTTCATCTGATACTGTAACTTTATTTTTAGAAGTATTTTCTTGAGCTTGCTCAACAACTTTATTCTCTCCATTTGAATTTGATATAGTTCATATACATTTATTGCTTTGATGATGATTAATCTTAATATTATCTAAGGTATCATAACTTTCTTTTTTTAATTTTTTTACATTTTTCTTTTAAATGCTTTAGCATTTGTTCCGGAGTTCCACATACTGAAGCACTGCAATAATTACATAGTGCTTCATAATGTTTAGTATTGATTTGATTTCCTCGTTTAATATGGTTCCAAATAGGACCCGGCTTTCTACCACGTTTAGACTTTGGATGATCTTGTGCTAATTAAATTTTAACGAAAGCAATTTTATATAAAATAACATTTCTTTATATTGTCTTCTATATATATTTATCAATAACGTTCTTTATACATAAAATATAGAGTTAATTAATATAAGTATTAACTGTTTATTAAATTTCGTTCTTGATTCATATTAAAAACTTAACATTATTGGCTAAAAAAAAATAAACAAAGATACTTTAACAATAAGCATAGTGCATCCTTGCATTATTATTAATTGTCGCGGCTGATGCTGGAAACGGCTGAAGCTGGAAATCAGGGACCCTGATTTAAAAATATAAACCAATTTGAGTTAATCACCAAACCATGTTCCAATTTGAAATGTTTGATCCAATTTGGAATTTGCATATATGTATTATTACTGCCTAACCAGTCTTTCATGCTAATCTCAATATGATAAGCTGAAATACCTGGTACAAGGCGTTTGTCAAAATATTCTGGACATGATTCTGCCGTACCAATTTCTTGCCACTTCATTGCATCTAGACAAGCATAAGAAGGCTTCACTTTTTCATAAGCAATTACTGAACAAATTTCAAATTCATATAATTGTTGAATATAATTGCTCTAAATGATATTTAATCAAGAGAAAAACAAAAAAATCAAGAATGTGGTTGGTAATAAAAAAAAATCAAAACAATAAAACAATAAAACAACATCGCCTCTTACCAACGTTTTCATGTCATTCAGTTGATTACCGATAAAGTCTTCAATAGAAAGCAATCCCGAATCTATCTTTGAATCCTTAAATAAATTCTCGTGGCCCCAACGAAATTCGTTAATTGCCCATGTGATTCGTGCTTTTAATTGATTCAAAGAATCATCTGGATGCACAGAAACGTTTTTTATAACTAGGACACCTCCGACCAATACTTTTTCAAAAAGAAATTCTCCTTTTAAGAATGATTGAAAAAAAGTGTCTGGTTTGCCAAGATATGTAACCTCCAAAATTGGAATTAGCAGCAAGACATCATGATCCGAAATTTTAGATTTCTTGTCTAGAATCTTTTGAGTTTCGATAAAAGTAGAAAATTTTTCTTCGAAAAGTTCCCATGCTGTTTTAGACGTTTTTGTATCATCCTGAGTCCGTTGATAAATTAATGGCTCACCAGTATATTTTTCTAATGTTAGTTCGCCACCATCAAGAATTGAACGAGATGACACAAATTTTCTGTTTTCGTAACGAAAACCATAGTTCAATTTTAATGATTTTACAAAGGATTCTTCAGCAGCATCCATAAATTTTTGTGAAATGTTGCTTAGCTGCAGTACGTATTAATATTCTAATTTGCGTCACTACAGTATACCGTTTCACAAAGCATAAAACTGCAATTTTATAAATACAGTGAGACCAACGATAAATATAAATTTTACCAAAAAGATTAATCATTAACATTAATAACGATGGAGCTGGCGAATCTGGATCAAGGTGGGCGTAATCTTGCGAAGAGTAAGATTAACTCAACTAGTCAAATTTCTATTCAGATTGACGGTGAACTACCTGTAGCTCGCAGATTTAACACAGATTTAACACTTAAAGAGGTTCGAGAGCAATTATCAAATTCGGGAGAACAAGCTCGCATTTCTGAATATATGGACTTCTATAATACATGTGGAATAATTTCACGTAATGATGAAAGCACGGAATTACTAAAGGGAAATTTGCATGATGGTTATATTTTAAAAATTAAGTCAAATATTATTGAAGCTACACGTAGATGCATGTTGAATTACGGAAGAAAAATGACAGAAGATGGACCTGTAAAGGTAGACAACATGATATTTGAATTTCCTCAAGGTATTACTCAGAGCATTAAGATAACGAAATTAGATTACACTGAATATAAATATGAAGGAAAATGTGAAAATAAGCACGAAAATTTCTTGCGAAAGAATTTAGTGGCAGAAGGGGAAATATCGGCATCTGTGCTATCAAATTTATCCATTGGTCTTACAATTTCGTATGGCCGTCATATTAGTGCTACTCATCACACAAAATTTTCTTCTGAATATGAAATAATATTATTGCCAAAGTACGAAATAGAAATTGACGTTGAGAAAGTGCAACCATCTGAAGATTTTATACAGGCAGTAAATTCTGCTTTAGGAAGCAATAATCCTAAAAATGAACTCAAAAAAATGAGTGATAATTTTGGAAACTATATTGCTAGTAAAGTTCAAATCGGCGGAAGAATTAATAAAATAGTACATAATAATGCATCAAGCACGTTACAACAGACCTCAACGGATCGGTCCATTGGTATGGAAGTCTGTTCAGACAATATTGTTAGCATAGGAGGCAATTATTCAAATAAAAATGGATATAACGAGTCTTCATCTACTTCAAATATAAAAAAAAAGGCTTACATTCGTGTATATGGAGGAGACAAAAATAAATTTAAAAAAGACGGCATGTCCTCATGGCAAGATTCCTTAAGTGAATGCATCAATTGGGAGATAATTAAATATGTTGATCTAATTTCAATATTTGATGTTTTAAACCTAGAACTTCGCCAAAAAGTTCTTGAAGCAATGGGACATAAAGTTCTTTATAGTTCAATAGACTCAGTTGATAATATCGTCATGTCATCATCAAAATTTTCATATGAGCATGAACTTAGTATACCATCAGAACTAAATCTTAGTCTAAAGGAATGCCAAATTTTTGCGTCTGTCATGAATAAAGAAAAGATGGAAAATGTATTTTCTACTCGTATTATTGTATATACGTCAAATAATTCTGCTAGCGTAGTTCTTCATTGGATCAATAAAAGTTCAATGTGGCACAGAACTAAATTTTTCAATCTGCAAATAGGTTGGGTTGTTGTTGGCCAACCGAGAGACTTCAAATTTAATGAAAATTGTGACATTATCGATAGTGGAAAATATGCTCTAACCAATAATCAAATTAGTATTTATGATCAATTTAAAGATCATAGTATTTTAGTAGCATGCACACAGCAGCTGCCACAACAAATTGACTTCCATCCAAAAAATTCAACGTTAGTGACAGGTGTTCATTTTTCTTGTCTCAATGATTCACAATTAAGTGCCTGTTTTTTTATATATGATCTTAAGAAGAAGAAGTTGCATAAGGAAAATTTGGGGGGAGAATTGACCGACCTTTTTGTTCATTGCAGGTAACATCATTTCACCGAGATTTTTTTTATTCTTTAATATTAATTATCTTCTAAGATTTAACATAAATTAACTAAATAACTAATGTATTTACATTAGCATCATTCCGGTCACTCAAGGAAATTATTTGACATTAAACCGAGAAAAGGGTTCTAAAAAATCTACGACCCTTTATAATGCATCAAGTTCACATAAAATTCCGCTATGGACGTGCCATGAGCCAACATTCGTTAGTCTTTTTCATTTTGCAGGGTTCGTTAATCTTGCTCCTAATTATTTGATATTTAATTCTGTAGGTGACAGTGGCGTTCGGGATGATCTCCAAATTTCCTATTTTCGTGTACCTCTTTCTCAGATATAATTTTTATTATTCAAATTATATGTTAAATTTTCATACCACCTATTAGATTTTAATAACCATTCTAACCTAATTGTAGATGTACATTCAGCTTCATAACAATAAAAAATTATAAGAAAACTATAGAATTTGATAAACATAGTGAATTTCTTGTATTTTGTCTTTTTTTTTTTTTGTAAATTATACTATGTATTTGCCATTAGGTCAATGTGTGTACAACTTAGTATGTATATATTTGTTTAGCCATGATTATGACCTGGTGTTTATCATTAGGGCGACTTTTTACACTACCCTAAATTTATGACGTAGTTATGATAGAGATTTAACGTGAGGCAAATCATTTGACTATAAGTATATTTATAAGAAGAGATGAATTTTAATTAATTTTATTAGTTTAATAAATGCGCCTTATGGTCACGTATATTGTTACAACCGGTGGAGAGACTTTGTATACAATGAGCCAATTTAGCTTAGGGCTGTAAGCATTAAAGAGAAGGAACCAAGTATTTATTAATTATAGACAAGACACTAACAACAACCAAAACCTTCAACAGACTAACTATTTCTTCCAAATCCAAGAAGTACTACCCAGAGTACTATCCAAAATCCAACT